GTATGTTCTCACTCATAAGTGGGCCCTGAACATTAGTCACATTAGCACAAGGAAGAGATCGGCAGCTGCTGGACACTCCCCGGGGAGGAAGCAAGGAGGATGGGGGTCATGTGACAACACAGAGGGCACCTGGTCCTATACTAGGAGAGTGAGACCAGTTAGAAGCCCAAACTTCACCTGCATGCAGCCTACTTATGTAGCTCATCCTCACTTGTACCCCACATCTCTACATTAAAATAAAATTTAATTTTAAAAAAAAGAATCTGTGTGGTTTTTACAACAGAAATTCTAGGGCAGCCCCTAGTCACTTGCCCTCTCAAAAGAAAGCAGAGGGCATCCCCCAAAGTCTACAGGGATGCCCAGAAAGAGGACTGTCATCATCTCTCCAAAACCCCACTCATCCTGCATCCTTACATTCCAGCTTCGCCACAGGTGGGAAGCTGAGACTCCCCTCCCACATGCTCACACTGCACACGCTCTCAGTTCTGTAGAGACATAAACCAATCCACCCCTTGTGTCCATTTCAGAGAACCAAACCCAAGCAGCCCTCACTCACTTGGTAACAAGATTTTCTATGCGACTAAGCAATAATTTATGCATTCCATATAACAATTTGCATTTTGTAAAAGTGGACTTTTTACAAAGTTCTTTTACATGCATTATTTCATTTAATCCTCAAAAGTCACAGAACTTCTAGAAGTCAGATATCATTATTCCCATTGTGTGGATGAAGATACTGAGGCTTAGAAAGGGTATAATGTTAACTCCCATCATCCCCCAATGCTCAGCTTACTTCTCCAAGGCAAGGTTCATACTGACCAGAAACTTTAAAAATTAGTACCATATCTAGTAGTGGCTGAGGGCTCTGGAATTAAATGAGTTTATCTTCAAGTCTTTGGGCTGTCATCTATGTGTTGCGTAATTTGAACATGACACCTCACTTTGGAAAGCCTCGGTTTCCACAATTGTTCAATGGGAATCATAATATTGTTTACCACCTGGCATTGCTGTGAAAATTACATGTGATAATACCTATAAAAAAGCTTTGCCCATAGTAAGAGCTCCTCAAGCATTAAGTGCTAATATAATTGCTATTACCACTTTATGGGTACTAAAATGTGTTACATGGCCAGTGAGGGAAAGATAAGCTCATGTCTTTGGTATCATGTTGAATGAGAGTGTGCAACTCTATGTGTTCATGGACTAAGGCATTGCCCCACAAAAAAAAGCAAGATGCTTCTCTTGATGTGAAAACTAATGTGAAACATTTGTAACAGATTTTTGGCATACTCCTCTTGGCAAGATTTTCTTTGCTACCCTCTCTTTACACAGATAGTCACAAAGGAGAGGCATCATGGAAGAAGGATGTAGAAAGTTTCTGGGCTTTCCCTTCCAACACTTTGTACTCATTGCAAAAGCAGAAGCAATCAGGCAGGGTGACTCACGCCTGTAATCCCAGCACTTTGGGAGGCTGAGGCAGGAAGATTGCTTGAGCCCAGGATTTCCAGACCAGCCTGGGCAACATAGCGAGACCTCGTATTTACAAAAAAAAAATTTAAATATTATTTGGGCATGGTGGTGCATGCCTGTAGGTACTTGGGAGACTGAAGCAGAAGGATTACCTGAGCCCAGGAGGTCAAGGTTGTGGTGAGCCATGAGTGTGCCACTGCACTCCATCCTGGGCAACAGAGTGAGACTCCAACTCAAAAAAAAAAAAAAAAAAAAAAAGCATTTCACAGCAGCATGCTCAGCTGGCTGGATTGACCACCTTGTATTTTCCAGACCAAGTTCCTAGTGACAGTCAGATGTACATAAACTCCTAGCAACTACAGTGCTGACCTTGAGTTATTTTTTTCTTTTTTTTTTGAGTTGGAGTCTCACTCTGTCGCCCAGACTGGAGTGCAGTGGCCGCTCCCGGCCACTGCAGCCTTGACCTGCTGGGCTCCGGCGATCCTTCTGCCTCAGCCTTCCAAGTAGCCGGAATTACAGGCATGCGCTACCATGCACGGCTTATTTTTTGATTTATTGTAGAGATGAGGTCTCACTGCCCAGGCGGGTCTCGAACCCGTGGGCTCAGGCAATCCACTCACCTCAGCCTCCCAAAGGCGTGGGATTACAGGCTGAGCCACCGAGCCCAGCTGACCTTGAGTTATTTCATTTATCCAACCAGTGTTTATTGAGTACCAGGCCCTGTACTAGACTGAGAATAAAAATAACTTCCTCATATCGAGCTTCTAACACTGGAAGACTACAAGTAGTTTAATGAGTGGTTTAATCTTCTTTATCCCATATAATTATATCTGGTAGCTACTCTCAGTACACTTCCTCCACAGATGAGACAACCAAGGCCAAAGGCGAAATCATTTACCTCGAATTGCACCGCTAGAAAATGATGAGAACTCTGGTTGGACTCAATCGTTTCCCACAGATTTGAATTGAACTAATTCATGTTTGAATCCTCACCAGAGAGTTATTTACTGTGGAAATCCTAAGAAGATGTAAACACTTTCTAGCAAATATGTTTAGGGGTGAATGGATAGTGCAAGCCTCTTCACCCTCTAAAAGAGTCACAGATTTTCAGGAAAAAAATTTTTACGTTTCTTATATAGAATTATAGAACTCACTGATGGGCAAGGGGTTGTTGTGGTAGTCCAGGGAGCCTGGTCTAGAGAAAGTCTAATGAGATGCTACCTGGAAGGCAGGCATACCATCATCACCTTTTCCTTCAGTAAAAGCCACTGGCAAAGTATCTGCCTTTAAAAACAGCACCTTATCAGACACTTCACAGATGATGTCTCTTCCTTTATAATGACAAAGTCCCTGCCCTGAGAGGGGGGACCTCATCTCAACCACCACGGATGAAATATGTGCTATGAGTGTTTTACAAACAATACAGATGGATGGTCTACTCGGAGCTGGGTCAATCTCTTTCTTGCTCATTTTTCCTTATGCAACCATGGAGCAGAGCTGGTCTCTATTCAAAGCAAACTAAACTCAATCACCAGGTCCTGAGCCCACGCAATTGTTCTGACCAACTGGCACAAAGAATACACACAAAATCAGAGACTTGCAGATAACCATGTGGATGTGTGTAGCAGGCACGTGATGTAAATAGTTATATTGTATAGAATTTTAGAGTGGGTATTTGGGGGAAAGGTGGTCTAGCTACCTCTAAATCCTAAACTAGATAAAAGACATAAAGTTTATGGAAATAAACATAGTTTGACTTTGTTCTTGCTGCAAGTTTAAGACACAAGAGTTTTATCCTGGGCCAGTTGCAGTGGCTCAGGCCTGTAATCCCAGCACTTTGGGAAGCCAAGAGGAGAAGATTGCTTGGGCCCAGAAGTTTCAGACCAGACTGGGCCACATAGCAAGACCTTGTCTCTACAAAAAAAATTAAAAATTAGCCAGGAATGGTGGCATGTGCCTGTAGTCCCAGCTACATGGGAGGCTGAGAACGCTTGAGTCCAGGAATTTGAGGCTACAGTGAGCTGTGATAGCGCCACTGCAGTTCAGCTGGGCAACAGAGTGAGACCTTGTCTCAAAAAAAAGAAAAAGAAAAACAAGGTCTATATCCCTTTCCTCAACTGTCACAAGCAATAAAACAAAACAAATATCTCCAAGTATCTGAGAAAAAAATTCTACTAACAAGCGTGACCCTAGTATTCTTATTCCAAATTTTACTTTTTTCCTACATGTCATATCTCTGATACCGACATTATTTTATTTCTAATTTCTTTTAAAATCTAACAACTACTCCAGTATTGTATCCAACCTCTATAGCACTGTATCCATGCATTTCAAGGCCTAGTGGGAAGTCTTCATAGGATATTAACAAAATCAGAACAATAGAAATCGAATAGAAATGGACTCTGAACCCTAGATCACAAACCATTTCCATCTCACTTATTTTGTCTCTGTGCATTTCCAGATTCAGTTAAAATACTTCTACATGGTATCCTTTAATTTACTCTCAACATTCAAATATGTATATGTTACATTCAAAGCCCGATGAGTTTTCAACAACTCGCACTTGAAGTTGCTCTGCAAGTCTGTTCGATCTGGCCCACAAAGCCATTAAAAATCTGGCACCTTTGAATAGGAATCATTGCCATGATTGCAAGTCCTGATAAAGCCCAACCCTACATTAAATAAATTTTTTTTTTAATTTTTTTAATCATCTTGGCTTCTACAGACATGTCTGAGAAAACAAATACTGGTTGCCTTCTTGACAAAGCATGAAACTTACAACTTAACGAACATTTCCTGAAAACGTGTGGCAAAATGAAAGTATCCTGCCTGTCTTTTGTGACTGCCACATCATTGCACAAGTAGCTTTTGGCTATACGCGGTGGTGGAGTTGTTAAGCACACACCATTCTGAGGCAAAAAAGGAACAGCAGAACTCAAAAGAACTTGCCAAAAGTCATAGGGCAATTTCAAGACAGAGTGGGTAATTCTTGTACTGCTGGATTGTGTGGCTTTTCAGAGAACTTGACTGCGTTTAGGAAACAAGAAATGACTTATTCAAACTGCTTAGTTTGAGCTTACAGAAGTTACGACTCCAAAGATCAAGAAAACGGGTATTGTGTCCATGCTAGGCTAAGATCAGTCCAGTTAGGAACTTTTAACATTCCAAGATAGTTCAGTAATACAGTAACTGCTCGCTAGCGCGAGATCCAATAAATATATGTTATCTGGGGCAGGCAGGCAGCCTGACAGTGCCATACTAAGAAAAGTGTTGTCTGATTGCTCTCTGACTCAGCTGAATATTACTCTAAAAGTGAATTTCCACCGTACCGAGTTTAGAGTTCACATTTTATCATACTAGGAATACTTGCCAGTAACTTTGCCAAATATCCCTGGAGCAGTGAGAGAAAAAAAATGAACATCTTTTCAGATGAGAGGTAAGCTCTGAAGTTACATTGTGCTTGTAAATAGCAGCATATTATAGCAAAAGGGGAAAAAAATAAATTGAAAAGAAGAAATAGGAGTACCTACTTGAAGAGAAGACTGTCACTCAGGGACTATCTTCTTATGCTATGGAAAGGGCAGGAGAAAGGAGCGGGAACCTTTCGAACCCATTAAAGAGCTTCTGAGCATGGAGCCTGCATTTTCAGTTTTGATAGAATCCGTTCCGAGGCAGTAGACAGGAGACTGTTATGACCATGAAATTAGGAAATGCAGGAACTCAAAAATAAAGAACTAGCACCACCATTTGACTAGGATTGGAAAATCTTTAAAAAATAGAGGGGGTGGCCTTCTTTTCTCCTAAGTCTGTCCTGATTCTAACTTTCTTAGCACTTCCGTTTTGATGTTTTTTTATAAAGAGGTAAGTCATGTGTTCATCCGCCTGAAATTTTTGTATGCAATCCAGTCAGTTTTCTCTTCGCTCATAATAAAGCTTGAAGTCTAGACAGGCTTGCGGAGTTGGGGAAAAAAAATCATAAAGCACTCATTCAGCACATAAATTTTGTTGATCCGAAATTAGTTACAGCTAAATAAAAACAAGGGCAAGGAAACGTCTTCGGTGAGCATTTTCGTCACTTTCTCACTCAGCATTGGCTCAACAGTCTGCTCTGCACTTCTTGTCACTGATTAATTAGGTCCTTGACTTTGATAACCTGCCCAGGTTTAACTTCTAGGACTCTTCAGCCCTTGTCCCTTCCGTCCTATGATCCTTTCACAAACTGGCATTTCCCATAGCAATTTGAAAGTTGATGGGGTTTTTTTCTGTTTTTTGTTCATTTGTTTATAAACATGAAGATAAACCTTCTAAAATAAAAAACGGGCTTAAGAATAATATTAAAATTTTTTAAAATAATATTGAAACGTTAATTGCTTGTCAACACTGCTGTCATTTATGTGGTATGCATTTTAAAGAATTTTTTAAAGATCTTTTAGCTTTTTCTACTCCACAGTGTTGAGAATGGCCTGTTTTCTGGAAATGAGAATGGTCGATGGGAGAGAGGAGGGGTTTCTCTCTTACTATTGTATCCCTCATCCCTCCAGTGCAGATTGACATCTGCTAGGTAAGAAGTGCATCTCGGCTGAGGTGAGTGGATTACTTGAGCACAGGGGTTCGAGACCCGCCTGGGCAACTTGGCGAGACCTCATCTCTACAATAAATCAAAAATTAGCCGGGCGTGGTAGCGCGCGCCTGTAGTTCCAGCTACTTGGAAGGCTGAGGCAGAAGGATCACCGGAGCCCAGCCGGTAGAGGCTGCGGTGGCCGGGAGCGGCCAATGTACTCCAGTCTGGGCAACAGAGTGAGACTCCAACTAAAACAAACAAACAAAAAAAAGAAGTGCATCTCAACACTGGCTCAGGAAAGAAAGAAAACTCTAATAGTTAATGCTTTAAAACATTTTGAAATAAATGATCTTAACTGTCCTTAATCTCCCCTTTGGGTTAGCTCATAAAATTATTTGAATATGCAAATTTTTATGAGACTAACTTCTCCAGAATACATAGAGCAGGACACATTTTAGTTCATCTGTAAAGTATTCAATTTCAAGTTAGCGAACATCAAAGTTCAGTAAAATTCACTTATACAAGGAATAATCATGTATACTAATGCCTTGTGGGCATTTTCCTAGTGTTTATTGTTTTTATTATGATTTTTGGTGAAAGGCAAATTATTTAATAAAATGCTCGGAACAGTTTACATGTTTTGAAAGCAAAAATTTTGTTCTCAATTAATTAAATGCCTCAATTATTTTATTTGTCAAAATGGGTGAATTATGCTTTTCCAACAGAATTTAGCTACCCGATAAGATCAGTTGCACACATCAATATAGGGTAGAAAAGTACTTAGAGTGACAGTTCTCAAAGTAGGACATCCAGTGAATTCTGGACTTAAGGTCATAGATAATTGCCTTTTTATTAGAAGATACAAATATATAATGTAAAATTTAAATAAAATATAAGCTAGAATAATAATCCTTTAAAAATGATTATTAAAACTCATTTACATTCCAATATGTGCTTTCTTGAGTGGGAGAGAATAAAATAACAGCAAATGTCTTCTGGGCATATACAGTCATCCCTCAGTTATGGTAGGAGGGGTTGGTTCCAGGACAAGTCCTCCATATAAAATTACATAATATTTGCCTATAACCTATGCATATCCTCCTACATATTTTAAGTCATTGCTAGATTGCTTACAATACCTAATACACTATAAAAGCTAGGTAAATACTTGTTCTACCGTAGTGTTTAGGGAATAATAAAGGGAGTCAAACTCTGTACATGCTCAGATCAGACACAATTTTTTTCTGAATATTTTCAGTTCAAGATTGATTGAAGTCACTAAGGTGAAACCCACGGATATGGAGAACTACTAGACGTTAGGGACTATTCTAAGCACTTTCACGACTTAGAGAGTTAGGTACTACCAGAAAAAGATTTTACAGATGAGGAAAACGTGAGATACTGAGATTAAGTACCTACACCAGCAGGAGCCAGGGTTCCAGTTCAGTAGGACCAACTCAAGCCCCTATGCTTTTAACACTCCACTGCAGAATTTGAACTAGCACACAGAATTACATACAAGAACACACAATGGGAAGACGTATGTTTGTATGTATTAATATCATGGAAGCAAAAGGTTCCAAGGCTTTTCAGTGAATGGGTAAGAACAGTTTCATCAGATTATTATAGTAAGTTTACTATAATCATTTTGAAGTTTATCATTCTAATGAAATCACTAAAAATAAAAATGTATGCTTGGACTAGCACTGTTTTAAAATACGCTGTGCTTTCTTATAGAAAAAAAATTTCTTTGAAGAAAAATGTCTGATTAAATTGTATTCATTACTATTAGGCAGACTGCAAAATTTAAAAAAAAAGAAGAAAACTATTCAAATTAAGCGGTATAATACAGTGCAATTGAAACAAACACAAGACAAATTTAATCTCATAAGTATAATTCAAAGAGAAGTGTCATGCCATTATGCCTAATTCCCTCAAACACATTTTCTAAATGAAAACTAAAGCCTAATATTTCATCAAAATCATGCTATTCATTACATCTTCCTTGTTCCTATTTTTAAAAAAGGTCAATATACACATCCCTGGTGTTGTCACGCTGTTTATTAAGAAACACAGAACAATGAAATTCTAGAAAATTTTCCCAGTTCCAATCTTGTTTTTTGATACCATCGCTCATTCCAGAAGTAACCACTAACAGCCTGGTTTTCACAAGCAAAGTAAAGCAGAAAATTGATGCAATCTGTCTGGGTCATTCAAGCAAAATCCTGCTGTGATCCTGGTGATTCAGGCTAAAATATAAAATCAGGTTTTTTATTTGGAGTATGTGTTTTTATCCGATGCCCCAGATGATAGTGGAGTTTGGGACTCAGTTACATAGCTAATTGCCAAAACTCTTCATGTGTTCTTATTAGCAAAGATAGCTCTCCTTTGGGCATTGCTCAAAACACTATTTCACTTCCATCACACTATAAAAGCAGCTCTGGGCTGCTAGTTTTCCTCATGAAGAGCAACCAAAATTGAAACTTTGCTGACCTGGAGATATCAATCAGTACCTGACCATTCACTTACTATTGTTCTAAGAAAAATTGCTGGCCCTCAGCTCCTGTTGCCCAGACAACCAAGCCAAGTCCACCCGACCCCATCACCCCAACCCCACCTCAGATCACAGCACCTGACCAAAGAGCAGCCAACCTATAGAATATGTCTAGTAACCAGGACATAACCGTATCTGAAAAGGATGAACTTGGCCAATCACGTTCAAGCACTGGAGAGTACGAATTTGGAAACCTATCTGAGCTCATGAGACACAAAGGCAGAGGGGATGTCTTGTGATAGTGTGGAGACCTAGTAAGCAAAGGTCCTTAGCCAGTGAAGTTATGCAGGGTCAGAGAAAACCAATGAAGTGAAATGAACTAACATGGGGCCCTGGACCTGTGAGCACAAGGCAGGGTCTGACTGGAGCTGCCTCGGTCCCTGGCGGGGTTGTATAGAAGTTCCACAAATTCGTCCATTACCCAGGTATCCCAGGGGGTCTCTGTTCCTTGACGCTGGAAGAGTCTAACTAAACCACTCATCCTGAATCCCGGAAGCAAGTTTTTAAATAGCAGAAGGCAAAAACTCCAGCAGTAGTCTTACTTTCAGTGTGCAGGTGCAGAGTGTTTGATCACAGAGCTGTAATGTGACCAATCCCCAGTGACATTTTACACTCATTTACAAGGGGGACCCAAAAGAAAATCGGAATTTATTTATTTTAAAAATTGTGGGTAGCCGGGCTCGATGGCTCAGCCTGTAATCCCTCTGCCTTTGGGAGGCTGAGGTGAGTGGATTGCCTGAGCCCGCGGGTTCGAGACCCGCCTGGGCAGCGAGACCTCATCTCTACAATAAATCAAAAAATCAGCCGGGCATGGTAGCACATGCCTGTAATTCCAACTACTTGGAAGGCTGAGGCGGAAGGATCGCCGGCGCCCAGCAGGTCAAGGCTGCGGTGGCCAGGAGCGGCCACTACACTCCAGTCTGGGCGACAGAGTGAGACTCTAACTCAAAAAAAAAAAAAAATTGCGGGTCTTGGCTGGGCTCGGTAGCTCATCCTGTAATCCCAGCACTTTGGGAGGCCAAGGCAAGTGGATTGCCTGAGCCCACGGGTTCGAGACCAGCTCGGGCAACTTGGCAAGACTTCATCTCTACAACAAATCCAAAATTAGCCAGGATATATACTTATATATAGCCACAAACATCCCTTGTGAGGAAATAATTATTGAAAACTTTCTATTAGAAGACTAAATGGAGTTTCCTATTTACAGGAATGACCAAGGAAGCACTACTGAAGAAGACAGTGATTTAAAATTGTTTATTTACCCAACTCAACAAGAACAGTTCTCTGAATAAGAATAGTTCCTTATTATTCTCCACCTTGCCTCTCAGTCACCTCCTCAAACTCACCCCCAGCTACCACCCCCTCCCCCATCTGTCTCAGGCACCAGAGATATAAGTGCACACAATTATCAGTGCGAAGCAGGGTCTCAACTAGGATCCAGAGAAGAGTGGCCTTTCCCATAGTCTATTTTCATCAACTACTAAGGTTCATTCTGAGGGGAAAGGGGAACTCCATACATTTCATCCAAGGACAAGAAGCCAGTGTCAGAGAAAAGTGATATTTAAATACAGCACCAAATCTGTT